AATACACTTAAGGTTAGGCCTACCTCTAAGAATTTCTTTACTTTTATTATATAAATAACGTGGGTGCATAGTGAGTCAGCTACCTAACCACTACTATATGATAATCTAATTTAATTACACTACCACCCTAAGATAAATAGACTTAGTCTACTTAGAACTATATATATTAGATATTTCTTTATCCTTTTAATACTTATATATATTATACCTAGACTTTCCATAAGTACTATATCATTATTAAGTTAGCTTAGTATAGTCTAACGCGTAACGCGCTACGTATTATATATAGTTTATTAACTATATCTCCTATACTACTAAGTTAGGGAGGAAATCTTCACTAATATAGATTAAGGGTCTCTTATATAAGAACTAATTCTTTAAGATTAGTTAAATTTCGTGACTTCACTAGTTAGTTACGTTAGAAAGATTAATTATACTTTTAATCCTATAAGGTTACTCTTAGTATATTATAAGCTTTAGTAATAGATTATATACTCTATTTAGGATCTTTTTTAATAGCTTAAAGGGTAAGGAGTATTCTAGCTTCTTTCTAAGTAGATTCTATATTTTATAGTGAAGCGGTCGTATGGGGAAGATAAAGGTAGTAAAATATGTGGAAAGTGGCTGACTCACTATACTAGCCGACTCGCTATGCACTCACGTTATTCATATTTATATTATTTAAGGATATTCACATTATTCATATTTATTTATGAATATTCACATTATTCGTATTCATTTTGGAACCCTACTTGTCGCACATCCTATCGTTAAGAAGCACTGAGGAACCTAGGTAGGAACCAGATATGGATTTAGGTAGGGCATACTTCTATCCTTATACTCAGTGATAGTACTAAGTCAGTGCACTCTCTATAGACTAACAGGCCTATATTTCGACTAGAGCTTTCTTATAAATATAGTGATAGAATAGAGAGGTAAGGGCTCTAGTAAATCATCGGTAAGCCTTAGGCGTTACGTGCCATAACTACGCGGGCGTAGTTATGGCACGTCCATAATGTTTTAGATAGGGACACTATTTTCCTTCTCCCTAAAACCTATTACCGTAATTAATCGTGAGTTCTCCTATATTACGAATATCCCGTATAGCGATAACGGAGACCTAATCCCTTCCTAACACCCTCTAACCCTAGAGTTTAGCTATTAGTGCGTAGTTATAATATATACAATCGTAGATACTACTTCTCTCACTATAGTTAATCTAGGCGGCCTCCGGGAGCTCGTCAAGATCTTCCCTAAACATTACATAACACTTAATACTTCTATACATATTAGGAGGTACTAATTTACCTATCAAATGCTCTAGAAATATACCTTTATATGACCGGCTTCCTTCATCTATAAGAATTTCAAGCACTTTATCTCTACGGCGCTTAATTCAACAACGCCGCATTATTACACGTACCTCACTAATAATAGTGTTTTCCTTTCATAAATATATCCTATTTTTTCAGTATTCCTTCTTACGATCTATAGAGATACCGAGAGGTTTCTTTAATCTCTTTTAGTCGCGCTTACTCGAGGTTTAAAGAGTAAATAGACGGCTACTTTAACCGTAGGAATTATTAAAGATAAAAACTTTATTTATAAGCTTATATAATAGGGTAGTTTTTCCTAGATATACGCCTCTTATCTTTAACGGAAATACTATTTTAGTCCGTAATATAGACTCTTTAATTAATGCGACTTAAATTCTTCGAGCCGCTAAGTATAATCGCGCCCTATTTAGTTAGTAGAATAAAAAATTCGCTTATAATAGAGTAAACTCTCTAAGAATCTTTATATATATCTATGAGAGTTTGGAAAGAGTTCTATAACTAGCCAGCTAACCTAGTAATAAGGAGGACAAATCTGAGGAGAGAGAAGGAAGGAATAGCTATCCTTCCTTTCTCCTTATATCCTCTAACGCACCGTAAGGAGGTAACTATTATCCTCACCTTCTTACTCCTTTCCTTACGTACTTATTCTAGCTCCTTACCTTCCCTTACGTACTTATTCTAACTCCTTACCTTCCCTTACGTATAGTGTCTTAGCTATTAGGGCTTTATATCCCTTATATCGTGTGCGTCTTGACTAATCAGGAGGTAGTATTTCCTGGCGTTAATCTTAGCGCTAGTTCGCCAGAACCGAGCCTTCTCCTGGGTTCAACTCATCACACTAGCGCTATCTAGTAGTGTTTCTTTTTGTCTATATAAGAGCGATCTCTCCTCTCAGATAAGTTAACTTAACTAAGCTTCTAAACAGTCACGTACATTACCTAATGGTACGATCCTATGAGCCAATCTACCTATACTCCATGTCCTCCGAACACTATCTACTAGATATACTATACGCTAGGCCTGAATCTAAGTGAATATCTTAAGAGGTAGTATAGTATTAAAGGTAAGTGTGGAATATCGCCGTTTAGACGTACGGCCTTACTAGGCCTAGCGTCTTATCACGTGACTAGTTAACGCTACTAGTCTACACTAGATCACGTGATATAGGTGGCGTTAAGGGTGGCGTTACTAGTGGTGTGATTTATTACTAATAGCGCTAGAAATCCACCTACTAGGTGTTTCTAGTGCTATCTAGTAGTGTTTCCTTTGTCTATATAAGAGCGTTCTCTCCTCTCAGATAGTTAACTTAACTAAGCTTCCTAACAGTCACGTACATTACCTAATGGTACGATCCTATGAGCCAATCTACCTATCATACTCTATGTCCTCCGAACAATAATAATCTTAACTAAACTCTAAGTATGAGGGAAGGAAAAGGGAGCTTCCCTTAGGCGGTGAGTATACGGTACTTAAATAGTAAGGGGTTATCATGTACGAGATGCGCTTAGTAGTTCGTGACATATAGAGAAGAATATAGTAGAGAGAAAGTCTAAGCTATGTAGATATAATTAGTATAATAGTCTAAAATTTAATTAGGAATAACGTAGGTGCATAGCGAGTTGGCTAGCATAGTGAGTCAGCCACCTAACTACCACTGTACGACAATCTAATTCAATTACACTACTAACCTAAGATAAATTCACTTAATCTACTTAGAACTAGATACATTAGACATTTCTTTATCCTCTTAATACGTACATATATTATGCCTAGGCTTTCTATAGGTACTATATCGTTATTAAGTTAGCTTACCCCCTCTTATATAACTATTACTTATACGCTTTTCTTACTCTACCTACTTATCTACATCCCTTTAGTTAATTATATCCTACGCGTCTCGTATAGTAAGTGATCCTCCTTATTAGATCCGTATCCTTTTCTCTCTACGACGCTTACTTAGTATATAATTTACCTCTTTAAGCTCCTAGATATAATCCTTTATTAATACTATTTAATGTATTATAGTAGTTATATCTTTTATTATCTAGTCTATCGCCTTATAAATCGCTATTAGAGAGCTATCTTAATGTTAAGCGACTTTCCCCTTAATAAAATTAGACTATAAAGTTATCTCGTACATAGTCTATAGCGTCTTAGAGACTTAAGGGGTAGTTATTAGCGAGAGGAGTGTTAGTAGTATTAGCGTCTAAAGCTTTATATCTAGCTTCGAAAGGACTATATCTAGATTAAAAGGGATAAGCCTTACCCCTCGGAAATCTCCTCGTACGTTATCTTCACTAAAGGAAGTAAAAAAAGCGTTCTTAAAAGCGATAAAGAACTCGACCTTAGTAATATAGGTTATATATATCTAGATTAGGTTCTTAATTTCTTTACTATACGATCGCTTTAAGGGACTAAAATACTTAACGTTAAGTAGTTAAAGTAGATACGATAAATATATAGATATATAGAGTATAATAATATTATTCTCCTTATAGTAGCCCTTAAAATCTACTAAGTAATGACTTTTATAGCCGTCTAGGATTAATAGATAAAATATACTCTTTATACGACTATAACTATATTTATTAAAGTATTTAACCTAATTAAGACTAATCTTATTCGTTATCTATCTATTATCGCTAAGTACGATAACCTAGTTAGATAGAAGGGGACTATCTTAGTACTATAATACGAGGTAATACTTACTAGCGACTATAATAAAAGGCGATATAGTCTAGCTATATAAATTAATACTCTAGATTACTATAGCCTATTCCTAATTATTAGGCTATACTATCTTAACCTTTCTATACTCTTTAGAGCTCTTTATAACTATTACGGACGAGATTAGGCCTATTATAAACTTAGTCTTATTAAAGTTCTAAGTATTATCTTTATAGATCCTATACTTAGCTACTACGTTCCGTATAAGGTTAAACTAGGCTTAAATGATTACTAGATCTTTATATTAGACTCTCTAGTAGTTATATCTACGTATAAATCGCGTTTATAGCTCTTAATGTCGTTTAATAAAGTTCGATACCTAGCGGGGTCTAACGCGTGATGCGCTACGTATCGTACGTAGTTTATTAGCTATATCTCCTATACTACTAAGTTAGGGAGGAAATCCTCGTGAATATAGGTTAAGGATCTCTCGTACGAGGACTGATTCTTTAAGGTTAGTTAAATTTTGAGAATTCGCTAGTTAGTCGCGTTAGAAAGGTCGACCGTCCTTTCGATCCTATAAGGTCGCTCTTAGTATATCATAAACTTTAGTAACGGATTATATACTTTATTTAGGATCTCTTTTGAGAGCTTAAAGGGTAAGGAGTATTTTAGCTTCTTTCTGAGTAGATTCAATGTTTTGTGGTGGAGTGGTCGTACGAGGAAGATAAAGGTAGTAAAACGTGCAGAAAGTGGCCGACTCGCTATGCTGGCCGACTCGCTATGCACCTACGTTAGTATATAGTAGAGATAGGCGGCGATAATTAGTGCGATAGTCTAAAATTTAAGAAGGGCTTAGTGTCCCCGAGGATATCTTAGCGGAACTTAACTAGCGCTCGAGATCCCTAACTTTAGAGCTATATTTTAATAATAATACTAGGGTTATCGTAATTAATATCGGCGTAATAAGGGCGATAAGAGCTATCAATTAATACTAGAATATATAGATAAACCAAAAGTTCTTGCGCGGCGTTGGGTTCGTAGATTACCCTATAGAATTCGCTGAGTTTCGCACTTAGCTCATTTTCACCATCGCCAAATTGGCAGATTGTATGTCTTGTCCAAGGTAGGCAGATCTCACGCCACGCCGAAAAAGAGACGTTCCAAACAAAAGCTACCTGGAGATTGGTTCCCTAGTGTGACCCCGTTAAGGAATGACTCCCGAGAGTACCAAGTGCACGCCTCGATGATAAATAACCTGCTCCCTCTCCCGCCAGACTCAGTCTGCCGTTAGATAACTCTTGACTGCCTCGGACTACCTGCTGGACTCTCTTGATGCGAGATCGTGAGCAAGGTGTGAGGCGATGTAGTAATGGGTGGTGGGGAGGAAAGGTGATAGGCAGACACTTTTCCTACTGCTTCACAGATCTCCTGATGCTAGTTGGTCACGAAGTTGTTGTTCTAGACAAGCCTGTGAACGCTGTATAACTAGTATTGATGTAGGAAACCTGTACATCGCCAGCAGCCAGGTGCCTTCAGCCATCATCGTTCTGGAAATAATCGAAACCCCATATCCAGCTCTGGTCCTGCTCGATAAAGTCGTTGGTGAATGGAAAGTTGTCGTCACACATGCCGGACTGGTCCAAGGGAGAGTTTCGCGACGCAGGAAAGTTGAACATGACTGTTAACCCAAAAAGTCAGGCGACCGGCCAGGTTGGAACAAAATCACGAAATTGGGGAGGAGATCTTACCGTTTTCGAGATCCAGAAGCGTCCTCGCCACTGTCGTGTTCTCATCAAAGTCAATATTGCCTTGCTCGAACGTGTGGTTGTCCGGCTGCTGGGTGGTGTGCTGAAAACTCCCGGTGGACTCGTCTCTCGCTGGAGCAAGGCGAGTTTGACGAGCGTTATGAGATTGAGAGTCGATGGATTGCGTGTCGTCGCGATGTTGGCGAGGGGCTTCCGTCAATTGAGGTGGAGGCTCGTCGTTCGAAGGATGCGGAACTGGAAAGTCCCTCCCCGGTGCAGGAGCGGTAAATTCGAACATCTCCTCGGTTTCCTTGCGCAGCACTACTTTGGTCAATTTCTTCAGGAGGTCCAGTCCCTGTGCCGCCAAGATCGATGACTCCTTCAATGAGACCTGCATGGTCATCAGGCTGCGCACGCCCATCTTTGTCTCATAGGCTCTCAAGCTGAGTGGCTCCAGGCTCGTCATGACACACAAGGTGACTCCGGCCGTGAAGAGATGCATTCCAAAGAAGGCAGCTGCAAAGGTGGTCGAGGCGTACGTGAAGACCGGCAACTTGCCCACCTCGGCGGTCCGGAGGGCAGCATCTCGGCAGGTTTCTATCGAGCTTTGAAAAGGATCGGTAATCTGCAACGTCTGGGGCGGGTTCGATGGCCACTCGGAGGTGTTTGAAGGAGTGATCATTTTGTAGGACAGAAGGGGTCGGTGGATCAATATCCTCGTATTTTCAAAGGCCAATTTCAGCGCCAGAGCCTGGAGTCCAAAGATGTAGCTCTCGAATCTTTCACCAGAAGCTCCCAAGGTTTTCTCAATCTCTTCCACGTACCATTGGGCTGACGGTGACGAGGGTAGATCGTCCAATTTCAGCTTGCAGGGCACCGATTCGTACCAGGAGCACAGTTTCTGGTCCAGTTCTGCCACCTTTTGAACCAATTGGTGGAGCCGGGCGTTTCTGGTGGCTGAGCTCGCCACTTTGGCCGGCAAATTGCGATGCGAACCGTATAGATCAGTTAGCACCACCCGGATGATCATCGACAATTTCGACATAAGATACTTGTATGACAACAACGTGGCTTCGCCGCTCAGCTGGGTATCGGACGGCGGGTTGTTCAATGGCTGACGCGTACTATAGTCCAGCCATTCGACATCACAATCGCTATCCGATATGCTAAGGGGGTATCCATACAGCATAGAACAGACCGTCTCGATTTCGTAGACCGCCCACCAGACTCGTTTTCTAGCTTCGTTGAGCCGGTACGCCGGTACAGCTGGAATGTCAGCTGAGGAATTGAGCAGTCGCATCTTGCGATGCAAGTTCAGCGCTTGGGCGATCCGGAGTCCACAACCGCAGATGGGCCATGCCAAATCTGGACGACCATGGTAGAGGTGGTAACTGCCCAGGAGGACACAGGTTTGCACCGCCTCCAGAGACCCAAGAGACAGAATTTCGATGAGTCTGAAGTTCAGGGTCGCGAGAATCTTCTCTTGGAGGGCATTGGGATCGAGGCCGGCCTGAAGCAAGAGGCTTTTCCGGTATTCACCGGCATGCTGGATCGCAATCGCGAATGTGGCCAAGAGGGTACTCAGGAACCCGGTGAAGTCACTGATGGCAGCAGGAGCTCGCTGAACATACAAGTGATCATAGAGCTGGGCAAACTTGGCTCGAAAGTCTTGCTGGTGGAACAACAACATGAACCAGTGCACGCGATCGAAATACGTGTTCAGCAGTATCGTGGCGGGCTCCCGTTGGGGAAGCAATTTGAGGAGTTCTCGTGCGGTGGGTGAAGAGAAGCCGGGGGATGGGTTCCTTTGCCACAAGGCCTTGGTAGGCCGTGAAGGCAGGCTTCAATCGCAAAGTTAGCCCACAGCTTAGCTTCGCAGAAAGGGGGGACACTCGGACTTTTCGTCGTGTTTCCATATTCCAGTAGAATATGCCGATATCTCCAAGGGCGAAGGAGTGTCGGAATCATGATAGTGAAAAGCCTGTCGCAAGTATTAAAGACATGTGGGGACATCAATCTGGATCGCCCGGTCTCACCTCTTCGACCAAAACCACGGTCGAGGACGAGTTCCACGTGGCCTCATTGAAGGCAGAGTCTGGAATGGGCGATTCATGGCGCGGAACTGATCCGCCACTGATCGTCACTCCCTCCGTGGACGCTACGTGGCTGTCACGAGAGGTGTGGTAATCTCCGCTGAATGGTGAGGGCGACGGCAAAGGCTGCTGCTTTCTCGCGTTCGGGCTGGCACTTGGAAGAGGCTTTGTCACGCGGCCAAGGTAGACTTTCCAGCTCGCGGCATCACCAGGTACACAAGAAGCACCGGCTCTCGCGCAGAGTGTACAAGGTCTTTGGATGTCGCACTGTTCGTCGGGCGGTTAGCGGGAGTCTCGACGTGCGCATCGCATGCACACTTCCAAGCACGTAGGGCTCACTTTGTGTTTCAGCCGGCGGCATCTCTGGCAAGCAGAGGCCACTCTATTGCTGCTGGTGCCTCTGCCTCCAGCCCACTCCGTCGGCTCTGGTTCATTTGGGCCCGACCACATTACCAGGCTCGCAGGATGCAGGTGTACAAGGTCTGTGACAAGTGAGAGACAGGGCGAAATGTCTTAAAAGGCCCTTCCGATCCGGCGGTTCTAAGTCCCCGCTCAGCAAAAGCCAGTCTAGTCCAAACGGGGTAATCTGCTCCGGCGGCTCGATCGGACTGGACCCACACGGCCCTACGATCATGGGCCTGATCGCCGAGCCTGTGTGGGACAGGGCCACTCCCCAACTTCATGTTGCTGCCAAAGGACCATGTTCCACCCGGATGGTGTGGTCTTCGATCTTTCGAAATCTCCTGCCGACTGGCTGGGCGGGCTGGGCAAGCCTGCAGGACCCTCGTCGACCAGGTGGCACAATTGACGCACTTGCCCTGCGGGTTGGCCAGATTTTCCCAACTGCTTCTGACCGATTCCGCGCCAATGTATAAAACATTTCGAACTCTGACCCGACGTAATTGACAAGTACGCTTACTTTCTGTCCCTTGGAATTCATCGTAGCTCGAGCGCTGAGACTATCGAAATCTTGCGACAATCGCTATGGCTCCTTCAAACGAAGGCCTCACCAATGGCTCTAGTCCCAATCACACCATTACGGTAACATTATCACAGCTTGCCCAGATGATCGATCACTCCCTACTACATCCCACCATGACCGACGATGACATTTTGTCGGGACTCAAGATCGCCAAACAGTACGGCGTGGCCACGGCATGTGTCAAGCCTTATCTCATCCCCCTTGCGAAAAAGGAGCTCGAAGACACAGGAGTACGTATCTGTCCTGTCATCGGCTTTCCGCACGGCAACAGCACCACTGAGGTCAAGGTTTCCGAAGCCGAAGCGGCAGCGAAAGCGGGAGGTCAAGAGATCGACATGGTGATCAACATCGGGAAAGCTCTCGGGAATGAGTGGGAATACGTGACTGAAGAGATCCGGCAGATCAACGAGGTCGTGGTACGACATGGAGCCATCTTGAAGGTCATTTTCGAGAATGACTATTTGGAAGAGAAGCACATCATCCGTCTTTGTCAGATTTGCTCCGATCTCGACGTGGCATTTATCAAGACTTCGACCGGCTATGGCTTCGTGAAACAGCCCAACGGTCTCTACACCTACAAGGGGGCAACAGTCCCGCACTTGAAGCTGATGAGGAAGCACTCAAAACCTAGCGTCCAGATCAAGGCAGCGGGGGGTGTGAGAAGTCTTGATGACTTACTGCATGTCATGTCATTGGGCGTGACGAGAATCGGGGCTACGGCCACGGTGACCATTCTAGAGGATGCAAAGAAGAGGGGGATCACTGAGCAGCCGACGACAGTGCAGTTCGTGCCCATCAATGGAAGCGAGGGCGGTGGGTATTAAAGTCAATACAGAGTATGGATGGGTCACAGTGAGCGGCTCGTATTTTCCGTTGTTTTGAGGGAGGGCTGCCATGGGAGGGTGTTGCATGAGGTACCAGGCGTCTGAGAGGTCTAAGCATAGAGCAGCTATACAACCGAGCGCAAAGTTCTTTCCTTCTATCATGGCGCCCAGTTGACACAAGACTTTAAAAATATACAGGCCAGTCTGTTGTCTCGATGTTGTCGGCAAACCTTAGTCCATTTTGCCGGCGTACCTCGTCCATGACCTCCATAATGACCACGGATTCCTGTAAGCTCTGAAGTCTACCCTCCTTTCGGCATTCGACCAGAGCATATGCCGCCTCGTCGGCTTCATAAAACATGCCATGCCCTTCGCCTTCGGCATGGAGGTAAGTTGAAAACCCATTGAACCACCCACTTCCTGCGCCAGGGCCGGGGTACTCAAAGATGTTTTCGTCCACCGTGCCGTTTTCGAGGACCAGTTTTGTCCTCGTAGGTCGGAAAGCTGGAGGAAAGACTTGGATCTCTCCCTTGGTGCCTTGCACTCGCACGGCAGGACCACCGGTGCCTTGTCCGTCCGGGTCGCTTGCAGTCCGAAAGCCGCACGTGGCGACGGCATGAGCGTCACCAGTGGATCGTGGGAATGTCAGGAGAATAGTCGTGAGCTCGTCGACCCCAGTCTTGTATTTTCTCATGGAGGAAACCACGCGGGGAGGCTTCGGACTGGATTGAGTAGAATACAAGGTTTGAAAGACCCAGGTCAGAGAGTAAATGCCCATATCAAGCAATGCGCCTCCGGCAAGATCGGGGTTGACCATACGGTGCTTTCCGTCCGGCCAGTTCGCTTCCACATCGTGGGCCATGGAGTTGTCTGCGAAAACTCGAGTCACCTCGCCAATTGTGCCCGATGTAATCACCTCGCGCACGTAGATGGACAAGGGGAAATATCTTGTCCAAACGGCCTCCATGAGGAACACGTCTCTTTCTCGGGCCTTCTCCACCAGCTTGCAAGCCTGTGCCGCGTTGACGGTGAAAGCTTTTTCGCACAGGACATGCTTCCCCGCTTCGAGGCAGAGCATAGCATTTTGGTAGTGGTGAGAATGAGGTGTTGCGACGTAGATGATGTCAACGTTGGGATCCTCTACTAGCTCCTTGTATGTTCCGTAGGCATTGGCCGACGAAGCTCCAATCTTAGTCAGAAACTCTTGAGCCCGAGTGTCACTGGTCGAACTGGCCGCGGCAACGACGCTGTGCTTGATGGATGTGACTCGGCGAGTCCTGGGGTCGACCAGCAGGTCCTTCGCGAAAGCCTCGGCGATCAGGCCCGTCGCTGTTGATCACTTCAGTCTTGTCAAGTCAAGAGTACGTTTCGACAGTACCAACCTAGTATTCCCCAACGGATGGTTTGGGCCATGGTGGACCACTATTAAGACGGAGTGAGAATATGGGAAAGGAACGTGACGTGTACTTAATGCGATTGGATTGCAAGGGCTCCATGATCATCGAAGGAGGTGCAATGCCCATATGGACAATCTTAGGTTGGAGCGGATGGCTGGGACGGGAAATTCTTCCCGTACTCCCCGGCGGAAATAGGACACGACCTGTCCCGAACGCCCCGAGTCTCCGGGGATCACGTTAGGGTTGGGCATGAAAGTGGCACCCCTCGTGTTGTCGCACTGAATATGTGGTCTATCCAGCAAGTTGCTCCGCAATCAGAAGATTCTACATCGAATGCCTAAAAAGACCTTGACCAGGCTGAATCTCGTCGGGTGGCCACAGGGCCGCTTCATGGTGGAGCATTGAGGGCGCGATCCCGTCGCCATCAACTCTACGCGCCTATTACTGTTGCCAACTCCGGTGGCTCTCAAGCCAGGCTTCGATCCTTACAACCTTATGCTACTTTCTGATTTATTTCCAATTTCGCAAGACCTATAGTACCTAGGCATTGACGTACAAATGCCCCTCGGGAGTAGATGACCATTTCGCAGTTCGCCGACAAAGCCGTCTACTAGGTGCCAAGGCCTATTACAGTGCAGGACTATCATGGCTGTCACACATCATCTTGACAACCCGGGTGCAAAGGGGGTCAGCTTCTATAGTCCTGCGCAGGATGTTCCTGCTGGTACGGCTGTCTCGCCTCAAGCCGGCAATGCACCCATTCCAAAGCTCTTTCAACCTCTTACGATCAGGGGCGTCACTTTTCCCAATCGCATATGGCTGGCCCCGATGGCTCAGTATTCCGCGGATCCGGCGAATGGAACAGTAACCCCTTGGCACATGGCGCATCTGGGCGGTATCATCATGCGTGGAGCTGGCCTCACCATGACCGAAGGGATATCGGTCACTCCTAATGGCCGAACTTCGCCACAAGACCCTGGTATCTGGTCAGACGAGCAAATTGCACCTCTCGCGCGGCTTGTGGAGTTTGCACACTCTCAGAATCAGAAAATAGGCATCCAGCTGGCGCACGGAGGAAGGAAAGCGTCCACCGTAGCTCCATGGTTGGCAGCAGCAGAGCTGATACCCGACGACTTGGGCGGGTGGTCTTCGCAAGTGGTCGGGCCCAGCCCCGTATCATATCCTCACCTGGCTGAGCCCCGCGCTCTGACAATCGACCAAATCAAAGAAATCAAGACCGCTTACGTTGCCGCCATGCAGCGCGCTGTAAGAGCGGGATTCGATGTGATTGAGATCCATGCGGGACATGGCTATCTGCTCTCTTCTTTCCACTCACCAGCCTCAAACCATCGCTCGGATGAGTATGGAGGCAACTTTGAAAATCGGACACGGTTGACCCGGGAGATCGTGCAGCTCACGCGAGCGAGTATGCCCGAGACCATGCCTTTGTTTCTGCGAGTCAACGGGACGGACTGGCTGGAAGAGGAATTGTCACTGCCGGGGTCATGGAGGGTGGAAGATACGGCTCGGCTGGCGCCAATCCTGGCCGATCTTGGAGTCGATTTGTACGACATCTCCTCGGGAGGACTGCACCCATTACAGAAAGTCCGGGGCGGACCAGCTTATCAGACCCCATTTGCACAGGCCGCCAAATCTGCGGTCGGAGATCGGATGCTGGTGAGCACAGTCGGAAACATCACACATGGTCACCAGGCCAACGAACTCCTTGAAGGAGGGCTCGACGTGATCTTCGCGGGCCGGCCATTTCTGAAAAACCCTGGTCTGGTGTGGAGCTGGGCAGATGATTTGGGCGTTCAGGTTCGCTGGGCCAACCAGATCCGGTGGACCGTTGAAGGGAGGACCAAGAGAGTGCGAAAAGATCCAATCCCTGAGGCTGAGTGATAGGAGTAGGGGTGATGTATCGCAGACGGTAAAGCTAGCGATAATATACTCCAGATGTGATACCTGTGTCCAACGTTTCATCAAGATACGGGCATATATAACTCCATAAAAACCAGACAAATTCTGCTACAGGCTCTGTCTAAATCCAGGCTCTATAGGTTGTGACCATGGCTATCAGTACAACCCTCATCACCAACAATCCCCTTCCTCGACAAACTCTTGGCTATCCGGGTTTATTTCTTCGAGCGGTCCAGCAGCCACCCCAAAGCTTCACTTGTATCCTCGACGAACTTCTTGCTGACCTGCAAATCGGGGAATGCCGTCCAGAAGCCATGAGGCACTCCCGGGTATACCTTGAGGTTTGTTTCAACCCCGTACTGCTCGCGAAGGACTTTCTCGTAGATCAACGCCTCATCTCGGAGTGGGTCCATGCCACAGACTGCAAAGAATTTTGAGAAATGGTTCCTTCTTGGTCGAAATGGCTGGGTAGAACGTGAAAGGGAACAGCGAAATAAGACTTACCCTGAAAGTAGACAGGAGGAAGGCCGGCGTGACCGTCGGGATGGTTAAATGGGTTGAAAAGCCACGATGAGGTGTCTCCTTTGTAGCTGTCTGTTTGACAAGTGGAAACCCAAAAAGTCAGCGAAATATTCATCCCCAAGGTTGCGACGGGATTGGAATGCCGTGACATTACCCCAGAATATTTGTATTGCTGGCGTGGGCAGGATTGCCGCATCTTCGTTCTGCTCGTAGCTTCTGTAGAGTGGCTTGTATTCTGCGGGAACAGCATCCGCGGTCAGCAGGCATGGGATCTTGAGCAATTCTCCCGTCAAGGGTGGTGACAGCTTCTTGTCTCTGGCCATCAAGGATACTACCGCTGCTAAATTGGCACCGGCTGAACAGCCTTCGACAATAAAGCCTTTGGAAGGATCAGCTTTGAGCTCGGCCGTATGTTCCGCTATCTGATGCCCTCTTTTTTCAGTGGTTTTCTTTTCATCGGAAGGGCAATAGAAACACACACCCATTTGAGAGCGTCCCAGCTGTCATTGACACCGGTAGGAAAGGGATACTCTGGTGCCAGGCGGTAGTCGACGTTGACACATATGCATTGATGACGTTTCACGAACTCGCGACAGTCCGCTTCCTCTCCATCGAGCCCACCGAGACAAAACCCACCGCCGTGGAATGCTACGACGAGGGGATATCCTTTTGTTGAAGGGACCGTGGGAGAGTAAAATCGTACTGGAATCGGGTGACCGTCTCTGGCTAGGATTGTCGAGTCCTTCTCGACAACACCTGCCTCCAGCCGCGGGGGGCCTTTCTGCTCCCTCTCTGCTGCTTCGGTCTGGCGAAGCGACTGAATGGTGCCTGATACCCTCGGGATTTCTGGAAGATTCCCGAAAATCTTCACCGTTCCGGTATCAGCTGTGGACAGAGTCAGGGGGGCCGGTGACATGGACCGACCTGCTCTAATTCCGGGTTGATCCTGGCAAAATCGAGCCAACTCTCGCTGTCGGATGCTGCCATTTTTTTAAACGCTCTGGAAACTTGCAAAGATGTGTTTCGAGACGTGCCTTTCAGGACAGAACACCACAACCTGGTGCTCGAAATACGTGTTCGAGAAGAGAAATCCCTACTTGCCCGGCTCTGTTCTATCTTGCTCCACCGAACTTATCCAGCAACCTCCGGATTCAGACCGCCACTCGCGATAGAACTAGGCAAGGTATCGACGGAGATCAGGCTATTCCAATCGATTCGGCCGCTACAATGTAGTAAAGGTATACAGCACGGATGCATTTCCTACCTCGGCAATCTGGACGAGTGACATGTTGGGTGGGTGAAAGAAGCTGGTGCTAGTGCCAATGTGGCAGTTCGCGCCGCATCCTCTTCTCCATCAAAGCAGGCGAATCGGCTTCATGTGACTCTTTGGATCGGACATGATCGTCACAACACGGACAGACAACGTAGATGTCTTTCAGATTGTCCTGAATCTATATATCTCGTGTTCGTATCGACCATTTCTTGGCTGGTCGCCAGTTCAACGTGTAGCTCAGCTATTTTGCGTAGCCTGCTTGGTTGAGCATAGACAATTTTGTTTACTACCGCAATCATAGACCTCTGCCACAAAGAGTCCTCGTCATCAAGTAAAACGCAAAATGTCACCAGACGTCAGTACCCTGGGCGGGAATCAGACTCACTCGGCGACTTATGAGGTACCAAACGTCGTGCTGGGCAACCCGCAGAACCGGAAAGTCCGGGTTCTTAGTATCGGTGCGGGGGTCAGTGGCATTCTCATGGCCTATCGAATTCAGAAAGACTGTCAAAATGTTGAACATGTCATCTATGACATGAACGAAGACCTGGGAGGGACTTGGCTCGTGAACAGGTATGAGAGCATTCAGACCGCCGTGCACACATCATAAGGGGCTTCGAAAAGCAGGGTTTCAAATGTTGATGACATTCTAATTTGGATATCCCAGGTACCCAGGCTGTGCTTGTGATGTCCCTTCGCATGCTTATACCTACAATTTCGCCCTGCACGTGAGTTTTACACCAGGGGCTCGCGAGCAAAGGGAGGCAAGCTAAGCTAAATGTTCCAGCCCGATTGGCCACGTTTCTTCTCTCATGCACCAGACATCTGGACCTACCTTGACAAAGTGTGTGAAGTATGGGGCCTGCGGAAACATATGATATTCAACACCGAAGTCATTGGTTGTTACTGGCAGGAGAAAGCCGGAGAGTGGCTGGTCAAGTTGCGACAGAAGACGGCAAGCGGAGAGTGTCGAGAATTCGAGGATCGCTGTGACATTCTTCTCCATGGCACCGGTATTCTCAACAACTTCAAGTGGCCTGAAATCAAAGGTATAGAAAAGTTCAAGGGCAAACTCATGCACACGGCGCGGTGGCCGAAAGAGTATCAGCAGGATGACTGGACAAAGGATCGCGTGGCCGTCATTGGTAGCGGTGCATCGAGTATACAGACTGTTCCGTGAGTCAATTATCTGGCTGCTCGTATACAAGACACATGAGGCTTCGTACTGATCTCACACCCAGGGCTATGCAACCATTCGTCAGGCATATGGACATTTTCATTCGCACCGGCGTGTGGTTCGTTTCCATTGCCGGTAACACACAGCAGAACAAGGAATATTCCCAGGAAGAAAAGAACAAGTTCCGAAACGAGCCGTCCGAGATGGTCAAGCACGTCAAATTCATCGAGGATCAAGTCAACGGACTCTGGGATTTCGTTTTCAAAGGCACAGAAGCTTCGGCTAAATTGGCGAAAATTTTTGGTGACAGGATGAAGTCGATCATCAAGGATGAGAGGCTATTAAAGGGGTGCGTCAATGGCATCTTTGATGTTCCCAACGTGCCGTTCAGTTGCGAGGAGTATGCAAAGCTAACCTTTGCATTTCTATCCTTGTAGCTTCACGCCAAAATGGTCTGTTGGATGTCGCCGGGTCACTCCCGGTGATCCATACATGAACGCTATCCAGAAACCGAACGTCAACGTACACTTCACACCGGTCGTCGAGATTACCGAGGACGGTGTCATTGGAGGCGATGGAATCGAGCGGAAGTGCGACACCATTGTCTGTGCTACCGGGTATGTTCTTTCCTGAACGATATTCTGCGACGTAACGGTACATTCTTCTAACATACGTGACCAGCTTCGACGTGTCTTATCGTCCAGTCTTTCCCTTAGTCGGAAAAAGTGGCATCGATCTAGCTGAGAAGTGGCAAGATCATCCAGAAAGCTACCTTGGACTGTCAATCCCGGATTTTCCCAACCGTATGAAGCCTTTGTTTCCTTCCTCCATTTGCTCTCCTTGCAAATGCCTTTTCAGCTGAAGACTTTGCTAATCTCATTCTCGGTCTCCAGTTTTTACATTTATCGGGCCTACCTGGCCAGGTATGACTTCACGTACCACGCGAACATGATTGCGAAAGTGAGGCTAATTTTTGCTTGGTTTAGTTGCGAATGGTTCCGTCATGGGTCCTCTCTGCCTCGTCGGCGAATATGTGACAAAGGCCATCAACAAGCTTCAAACCGAGAACCTGCACTCATTTGCCCCGAAGCAGTCTGTTACCGATGCTTATAACGAACACGTCCAGAAGTGGATGCAGAAGACGGTGTGGACCGAAGAGTGTCGCTCATGGTACAAGGACCCAAAGACGGGCCGGATCAATGCTCTCTGGCCTGGTGCGTCCCTGCATTACATGGCAACAGTCCAGAACCCGAGATGGGAGGACTACGAGATTATACACAAGGATTCTATCGAGGGTGTTGGCGCTGGGAATATGTGGGCGTGGCTGGGGATGGGGACCACAATGGGAATGATCTCGGGCGACGACGTGAGCCCGTACTTCAAAGTCGAGAACATCGATCCGGATTGGTTGGCTGCCTCGGGGTTCCAGGGCGACTTGGAAGCTGAAAAGGAGAGAGATAGAGAGAATCTAACGAATTTGCTAGAGGACCGGAGGAATGGGGTGACAACAAGTCAGCCAGAGCAGGTCGAGGTGGGCAAAAAACAGAGTCTCCCGGCTGGCGGGGGAACTGTATGAAGTCTAGACATCTAAGGGCCTGTTTGAAAGATAGAATTCACCAATTGGAAAACCAGAAAGGAGGAGACATCTTCTTACTCCTTGACGCAGTCGAACTCGTTCATGCTTCTCGGTCGAGATATGATCACCCTATGTGGTTGGTACATGACCAATATGGCCATTGCTGGATCCCTCTGGTAAGGATTGAGGAGCTGTCCGACCAGGAGATCTAGGCGTTGAGCCATCTCCTGAGAAGAGGGAGCTACCAAGGGGTTTCTCTTTGTCATTGGGCTTTGCATGGCGTGCCCTAAGCATTCCGGACCGCACGTTGAGAGATCCAGTCTGGTGAACAAGGTCTGGATATCAGAGACCGAAGTCGGAAGGAGGTCGTGACCCTGTGACGGGACTGGGGCGGAGATTATTCTCCACCGCGCTTGACCTTCGGTAGTAATCCGCTCCGCCGGGTCGAAGCTTCAAAGGACGAGCAGCTCAATCTGCTCCAGCTTGAAAAAAACTATGCTCGGGCCCTGCGCAGAGACCTGGTCTAGCGGTAGCGAGTGGGCTAACAGCATACACCTCTGCACTGCATAGGGTCTTGGAGTCCCCGTCTTAGCGGAGCCCTAGAGCAGATTCCCCAGTTTGTGCAGCGTGATCTCGAACCCCAGATTATATCTTTAAAGTGCCTCCATTCTCGTCGATCTACCAAGCAGCCCGTTCACGACTCCTGGGGTCGCATCTCATCTGTTTTTCCAAATCCGACCGCTGTGCCGCCGCCCCTACTCATACCATCCGAGCACCTTGGAGATCTCTCGACATGGGACTCGCCGGCGCTGCGATAGATACCAAGGTTGCCAGCTTTGCGCACATCCAAAATGGCGCCAACAAGTATTGGTGGCTTGATCCGGGTATGTTGTTATCTGCGGGCACTCTGAGCCCATGTCGACCATTGAGGTGTACGTTGCTGACCAAAGACATGATCCACCAGGTCTCAGATGGAATGTCATTCATTGTATAGGACTCTGTGGCACCCTATTTTTCAACGGATGTGAGTCTCCCAAATTCTTTCTGCCATGGCAAGCCCGACCTGTCTCGATCGATGTTGACATTTTTCCTTAGATGATGGCAGTCTCTTGAACGGCTTGCAGAGTATCGATGCTTGGCAGGAATACTTCAACCACCCATCGAGCAATACTCTTGGCTTGATGACTTCGGCTGCCTACTTCCCCGGCTTGGTATCGAGCTTCCTGGCAGACTTTGCTGCTCAACGCTACGGTAAACGGCTTGTTGTCTGGATCTGTTCCGCTTTCGCCGTGAGTCTCCGTCCTTTCTTTATGTGGTGCTCTCCTCAACCTGAAAATTACCATGTAGATTGCCGGTGCTCTGCTCATCTCACTTTCGACACATTCGTCCATGTTCATCGGAGGCCGAGCTCTTCTCGGCTTCGGTGTTCAGGGCTCTCTGGTGGTGGCCGCACCCCTGCTTCAAGAGATTGCACATCCACGTTACCGGGCGAAGATGGGGGCTTTCTGTGAGTCCGCGAGAAATAAAATCATCCACTAGCACGGCTTTGGCTAATACTACGAAACAGACATGGCCGCATGGTACATTGCCTCCCTACTTTCTGCTATCATCTGCCGCGGCTGTCTCAATCTTTCTGGAAATAAAGCTTGGCGCATTCCTTGCTTCTTTATGATCGTGGGTCCTGCATTCACAATCCTGGCCACTTTGAACATGATGGAATCTCCGAGGGTAAGTGTGGATTCCACAGAGGATTTCGGCGACCCATTGCTGTGCTTTCTTGTTCTAGGATTGGGAAGAGGCCTGCTAACCGGGTCAATTCAAATAGTGGCTCGTGAAAAGGGATGAGGTTGACAAGGCCCGAACCGTGCTCGCCAGGTACCACGCCAATGGCAATGTGGATGATCCGCTGGTCCTGTACGAAATGCGCGAAATCCAAGAAGCCCTTCGAGAGGAAGTAATCCATGCGCAGATCAGCTACTTGGATTTCCTCCGGACCAAGGCCAACCGTCACCGAATCTTGATTGTCATCGTCACGGCAATTGGAACCGCTTGGGCTGGAAACAGCATCATTTCCTTCTATCTGAGCCCGATTCTGGACAGTCTCGGCATCAAGGAAACGGCACAACAGTTGGACATTCTCATTGGCATGAACGCCTGGAACTGTACGTTGAAGTCTCCCATCTCAGCGCCCCATTGCTGTCGATCCTGTCCTTACCCACAGCAAGTACCAGTGGCGTTGTAAGACTGACATTTGTCGTTTTAGTTGTTGTCAGCGTGTTGGCTTCGCTGGCTGTCGACAGGGCTGGCCGCCGACCCTTGTGGCTGAGTTCGACCGCTGGCTGCTTTGTGTGTATGGTTATTGTCATGGGTCTCTCCGCAGGATACGCAGAGTTTGGGTTGTTGAGTGCCGGAACCGCGACGATTCCATTCCTCTTCATCTTCTTCGGCTTCTACGACCTGGCGTGGACCGTGTTGTCCTACTCGTGGGTGTTCTCTATTCCTGCCCTTGACATCTCTAGCCAGCATCGACATGTACTGACGTATTGCTGCACTAGTTATCCTGTCGAGATTCTTACGTTCTCCATGAGGACAAAGGGTCAAGCTATCTTTGTCTGGACTCAGACTGCTGCGTTGGCTATCACCACCTGGGCCAACCCTGTCGCACTGACTTCTCTGCATTGGAAATAGTAGGTTGTTCATTCTGCTCTCAAATATTACCGCTCTTGTCTGACCTCTGCCCCTCCGTTACAGCTACTCCGTTTTCATTGCCATCTTGTTCGTCATCTTCGTCATCATCTATTTCTTCTATCCAGAGACGAGGAACTTGACCATCGAAGAAATCGCCGTTGTGTTCGACGGCGACGAGGCCTTGAAGATCATCGATGTGACCCGAGAGGGGAAGGAAACAGAGCTTCAAATGCAAATCAGTCATATCGAGTGAGGAGATGCCGGGTTGTTTCGGGGCGCCAGGTGAGGAATAAAGTTGTGTATAGAAAAAGACGAGGGCACCGAGGTCCGCGTCATGTTTCTGTGTCTCCCTGTGCTTGCCAGTTCTTGTTTCTACCGTCAACGAAAGACATTGGACCGGGAATGAGATGACGAAGGACCTCTACGGCTTATGCGAAAGCGGAAGATGCGAGTTGTACAGAATCATAGTTCCAGGATTTTCAACCAATAACTGTTTTCGTTAGATACGTTTCTAAGTACTTACGATTAGCAGGCGATTGGGAGCCCTTCTTGACTCTGTCCTTTTACACCTGTGGTAGCCATCACTTGTGCGCAACACCCCCAGTAACTAGTTTCTCGACTCCTCTAGAGGGTCCTAGGAGCGAGGCTACAACATGAATTTGTCAAACGTAGGGGGTTGGCAGTCCAGTCCCGGCCTCGTAGCAGCCAGATACGAGGGTCAATTAGTTGTATCTGGACGAGGCTGTCCCCGATACTCTTCAGAATACTCTCATTTCTTAGGCAAAGGGTCCTCACGGACACGTGACCGAATGTGCTGACTCAGTTTCCTTTTATGCGCTGAGGTGACTATGTTCCTCCGTTGATTTCCGGTGTAGGAGAGAACCTGCAAAGGCGACTGATATCAGGTGGATACAAAGGGGCACGAAAGTCAGTGAGGATGCAAGATTGATTGAATTTCATCCACGAAGAAGGAGTTACTCCCTCTCAAGATTCACCTCATGAGCGTGCCCTCCTCACCGGCTTCGACAATAGCGCGGCACCGGAAGATGTCAGACTTTGGGACGGATCGGCGCCGTTCCAGATTAGCCTTCTGCACCCTGGGCATGTTCATCATAGGCATCTCGTACACTCCCTCCTCCTGAATCCCTCACTGACACGTCGGACAGACCGAATCGAATACTTAGACAACCAGCAGTCGCCCCAGGAAAACATCATCGGCGGCGCAGGAACCTATGCCGCGCTGGGGTCCCGTCTCGCCGCCGGCCCGCGTAATGCTCACCTGGTAAGTTGGATCGTGGACATGGGCTCCGACTTCCCGCCTCGGTTCCGACAAGTCATCGAGTCGTGGCGAACGAGTTGTGTGTTCCGACATGACGCGCAGAGGCACACGACGACGGCCTGGAATGGATACGGCGAGAACGAGTTCCGCGCGTTCAAGTATATCACGCCGAAGTTACGGCTGGACGAGAACGACTTGAACGACGAGCAGTTGCTGAGCCGGAGTTTCCACATGGTGTGTTCGCCAGCGAGGTGTATCAGTCTCGTCCAGGGCATCTTGGACCGGCGGAAGAGATTGCTTGTAGACACAAGCGCCGGCGTGGATGACGATCGGCCTATCTTTGTCTGGGAACCGGTCCCCCATCTGTGCACGCCAGAGGAGTTGTCGAGACTGAGGGAAGCCGCGGGTTACCTGGACGTGGTCAGTCCCAACGCCGACGAGTTTGCGTCTTTCTTCGAGGGATCGCCAGAATGTCAGACCAAAGAAATCCAAGTACAGTATCTGTTGGGAGTGAATCACCTCAGATCCGGGTAGCAGGAGAACGGACTGCGTTCGCGAACGACAATCTTAGTCATCAGGGAAGGTGCACAAGGTTGCACGACGTACTATCCCGTGGACGACACGAATTTTGGTTCTATACATCTCCGAGCATATCACCAGAGCAAAGAACGGGTGGTCGATCCCACGGGCGGAGGAAATACATTCCTGGGAGCTCTGGCTATTGGCTTGACTGGCAGCACGATGGCCAACGCAGCGAATGTCGAAGATTTGGGCATGATGGACAAGAGAAAGGGCTTTTGATAGCGTTGGCGCATGCATCCGTGGCGGCAGGATATGCTGTTGAGCAGACGGGGATGCCGACTGTGTCAGAGACGGACGGTGATTGTTGGAACGGGGCGCGATATTCCGAACACTTCAGAGAGTACCTCAAACGTGAGCGAAGTCCTCGACAGCAATCACGCAAGCGGTCGCGCACGAGCTGATAGCTTGGTTGTTTCTTCCTTCGTTTTGCTTGATATTTATGGTAAACCTGCCTCCTGCCTGGACCAAGATGCTCGGATCCAGCCCCTTTGCCGGAGATATGTACAAAGCCCGAGGCGCCCGCCTTTTCGCCATCCATATCTTCTGGAGGATCATTTTCAAAGACTTGAGATGGATGATGCTCGGGTCATCTTCCCGCCCCACGCCATTCAAACGATGCGACAGTGCCCGGTAATCGTGGTATATAGTTTTGGAACTCTGAACGTAGGCTAGCGGTCATCGATGAACTTGCCTTTCTCCTAGGTTGGACGGTTGATGTTGACGGTTCGAGGAGGTTTATTGCCCTTTCTGCGCTTTCTCGTGCTCGATTATCTGTTTGCTCCAACTACGACACCGTCAGCATACTGAAACCCCCGAGAAATAACACTGTCGTTAGAGCGGGCGCTTTCTCCCGTCCTGTTCTCCTGGTGCATCTTCCGCGATTGTGTAGGTATGACTTACTACCGACTCGGGAAAAACACATCTTCTCTGGGCATCTTATATCTTGTTTCCCTCTGCGCCGAGACTCTCCAGACGAGCGCTGTGCAAGTTACAATAACCACGCCCATCACTATCGTGTTTGATTTCCAATTGTGAGGTTAGCCATACCATCCACCGGCGGGTGACCAGACGTGTTTGGGGTACGGTATATTTCCACCACCGCCCATCGTTGCGTTTGAAGGGGAAGGCAGTCGTAGGAGGAGATGAGGAGAGTTATGGGATCGGGCACTGGGTGAGGAGGTGGAACGGCAGTGAGGAGCTTGAGGCTTGATTGAGTGAGTGACGGCCAATTGAGGTGCAGTTCTAAACACGAAACGCTGATTGGCGGGTGGGCTTGCCTCGGCAAAGATGCCGGAAAAGTGCCCATGATGGGCTTCTCGTCTCCTGCCCTCTGCCTCCCCCTTCAATTCATACTATCTGCTATGACAGCTTGACGACTATTTTCCTGGCCGAAACGCCCTGCTTGAGCCTGGAAATCCCTGCCTGAGCCTGGAAATCCCTGCCTGGACCTATTCGAGTCCCTCACCGACGACCTCGGCGGGAGGTGCAGGCTTAAACTGCCCATTTTCCAATGCACCGGGTAAGAAATCTTCCAGGCTACTCTACCAACAGGAGTCGCGGGCACCAGGGCAGCAATCACTGCCATGGCATTAGCGGACTGCGAGTCAATGTCTGCAGGACTTGCTTACTTTGATTCGCTTTCACTCCCTAACATCATTCCAGCATATACGGGTGACCCCTACATATACTAAATCGCGCTAAGAAACTAGCTAGGGTATTATCTACACGGAGTATTATCTATATACCTAAAATATTCTTAGTTATCCTACTTTACTCTACTCCCCGATTAGATCGCGAATATCGCTATATTACTATAGTATTATTGAAAGTCGTAAATATTATCTCTTAGATTTACTTAGTATATCTAAAAGTCTATCTTAGCTTAATTTCGAGTCGTTATCTTTATCGCGCGAGTTATTTATTAACGAAAGAGTATCGAGGATCGCTAAAAATAACTAATCGCGACCCGTACTATAGCTATAATTATGATGGGTTGAACCCAGGAGAAGGCTCGGTTCTGGCGAACCAGCGCCAAGACTAACGCCAGGAAATACTGCCTCCTAATTAGTCAAGATTTGCCTATATAATGTATAGGCGAAATGCTGCCTCCTGATTAGTTAAGACGTATACGGTGCAAGGGATATAAAGTCCTAATAGCTAAGACACCGTACGTAAGGGAAGGTAAGGAGTTAGAATAAGTACGTAAGGGAAGGTAAGGAGCTAGAATAAGTACGTAAGGAAAGGAGTAAGGAGGTGAGGATAATAGTTACCTCCTTACGGCGCGTTAGAGGATATAAGGAGAAAGGAAGGATAGCTATTCCTTCCTTCTCTCTCCTTAGATTTATCCTCCTTATTACTAGGTTAGCTAGCTAGTTGTAGAACTCTTTCCAAACCCTCACAATAATCGCTCTCTAAGTATAGTATAGTTCTATATTATCATAAACAGGACCAGGAAGCCAAGCATAATCGAGATCGCGCTAAGCCGGACCGCGCTAAGCCACTTTAGGCCGCATATAGTCCGCATAAGAAAAGTATACTTCTCGCATCTAAGAAGCATCCTCCCCTTATATAATAAGTTTATGTCACTACTAGATGTAGAAGGATACTTATTACTACGGAATCTATCTATCGCTAAGTACTATATTAGAGCTACTATGAGGGTTTGGAAAGAGTTCTATAACTAGCTAGCTAATCTAGTAATAAGGAGGATAAATCTAAGGAGAGAGAAGGAAGGAATAACTATCCTTCCTTTCTCCTTATATCCTCTAATACGTTATAAGGAGGTAACTATTATCCTCACCTCCTTACTCCTTTCCTTATATACTTATTCTAACTCCTTACTTTCCCTTATATACTTATTCTAACTCCTTACCTTCCCTTACGTATAGTGTCTTAGTTATTAGGATTTTATATCTCTTATATTATATACGTCTTAACTAATTAGGAGGTAATATTTCCTAGCGTTAGTCTTAGCGCTAGTTCGCTAGAACTAAGCCTTCTCCTAAGTTCAACCTATTACATCACTCTCTCCCTCCTTCTATACTTACCTAGGAAGCCTTATACGTATCCAGCGCGGCGGAGTCTTATAGCGCGTTAGCTAGTTCCTATATTAGTTTAGCGTATCTAGTCTATTTCACTAGATATTACTTCTAGGATCCTCTTCCTCTTTATATAACCTTATCTTCTAGGATTACCCTCACCTTATATTCTTCATTATCTTTAACTATCACTAGTATAGACTAGTTATTATCCATTCTCTACGAGTTAAGAGGGTCCGTTAAGGCTATATAAAGGAGGTCTAAGTAGAAGACATTATGAATATCTAGTAGGGTATTTAGGCGGTAACTATAAGATCCTACTACCTTTATAATAGTATACTTTATATTCTTCTAGTCTAGTTTCTTACTAGTATATATTATTTATACGTTTCTTAAGTTAAGCTATACCTTATCACTAACTTAGAATTATAGTATCTATTATTACGTTTAATTTATTCTCTCCTCCTATTCCTACTATACGATAACTATTAAAGACTATATCTATTCTCTTACTTCCTAAAGTTATCGTATAATAAAGTCTACTTATTATATAGGTTCTTAAGGAGTCTCTACTATATAGAGAGGTTCTTATATTTAAAGTAGCTTAATATAATATCTATATAGTAGGAAGAATAGGCTAACTCCTATAGAGTATACGTTACGATTATTAATTACTAATTCCGCTATAGGTAGGAGTTCTACCTAGTTATCCTATTTTCCATTTATAAACGTATAAAGGTATATTTTAACTATTTAGTTTATTCGCTTAGTAGATCTATCTATCTCTAGGTAGTAAGCTATAGATAGTCGCTATATAATACCTAAGAGTTAATAGATCCTTTTCTATAGTATACTTACGAATTAGGGGTCGTAATCTAATATAATTACTAATAGTAGTCTATATTATTAATAGAACGTCCGTAGGAAGACTCCTATTCCGTCTTTTAACTTAATCGTTAATAGTTTAAGTAAGACTCCTTTCCCTAGTTAATCTATAATAACTATTAGGTTTATATAGCCCTAACTCTCTAGGAGTTCCGTAATGAAATTAACTAATACTTTCTTCTATAGTTAATCGGGGATTAGGAGAGGCTTTAGGAATCCCTATTTCTATTCCTTCTAGGTCTTTATCTATCTATAGATGTTATAGTTCTATATAAATCTTCGAATATCTTATAATATATTTAGCTAGAAGAACTACCTTATTATTAAGGCTATTATCCTCTCTTAACCTAGGTAACTAGTGACCTTTAAGTTATATACCTATTAAATAATTACTATATAGAGAGCCTCTAATTCTAGTACCTAATATTATCCCTAAAATAGTAGTTACTCTTCCTTATTAAGGGTATATTCTATAATTAATACTTTTAGACTTAGGTTAGAGAGGAATATATAGGCTCCTCTTTATATAGACTTAATAGTCTCCTAATATATTTAGTTATTCTATTAAGTTAATCTCTATTATTCTTTAATTAATAGTCCTTCTATTAATATTATATTCACTTATAGTGCCTTAGATCCCGTTTTATCTAGTATCTCTAGCTTAATAAGGCGCACTATACGATACTAAAGTCTTTTATCCTCTTAGTCTTAAGGTATATCCTACTCTCTCTAGGAGAGGGTGTCTACTTAAATATTTCACCTTCTAAAGACGTATAAGATTATAAAGTTATACCTCGATAGAATAAGGAATTAACCTATTTATCTCTTAGTGAGTTTTCGTATAGACATAAAGTATTTAAGGTTCTTATAGTTAGACTAGATCTTAAATTTCTTAACGCTTTATAGTTTAGTATTCTATTCCTCTAGGTATCGTATAATAGTAAGTATTTCCTTATTATAGAGCTTATAGTTATATTTAGTTAAGTAATTCCTCTTTAAGAAGAAGGTATAGGGGCGTATAACTCTCTTATTATTAACTTAGAAGAGCGTCCCTCTAATACACTATTTTAACGCATTAACTTCTATAATAGTCTCTCTCTTATAGTCAAATAGGATTAATATTAGAGCTATCGTAAATATCCTTTTTAGTTATATAAAGGCTTAGTCTATATGAGGGTTTAGAAAGAGTTCTATAACTAGCTAGCTAACCTAGTAATAAGGAGGATAAATCTGAGGAGAGAGAAGGAAGGAATAGCTATCCTTCCTTTCTCCTTATATCCTCTAACGCGCCGTAAGGAGGTAACTATTATCCTCACCTCCTTACTCCTTCCCTTACGTACTTATTCTAGCTCCTTACCTTCCCTTACGTACTTATTCTAACTCCTTACCTTCCCTTACGTACGGTGTCTTAGCTATTAGG